GCCAATCCAGCAACATCTGTTGTTTCATCCAATTGCATCGTAAATTGATGAGGAGAAGATTTTAAACGAGAAATTAATTCATCTTCACAAAATGATGACATTTTCTTAATCCGTCTTGGGATTGTAGTATCAGAAAGAGGTATGGTGTCAATTTCCTTAACATATTTTGCACCAAGCTTACATGTTATTATGTCTTTAACACAGGGTTTAATTAATTTTTCAGCAATCATATTTTCGTTTCTTCCTTGGGATGGATGAATCCTGAGATGCCGGAACAGATGTAGAAGTACTGGCTTCATTTGATGTCGAGGGATCAATGGGCCTTATCGTTGGATCACTTTCTGATCGCTTCAAAGTTACAATTTTCAGCCATTTATCCATTCTAAGAAAAATTAAAGTACAACGTTATTGTAAAATGTATAAAGAATTATGAACATCCAATAATTTTTCAAACGACAGTACTTACTTTGTATAATGATAATTAATAATAATCAAATCAATACTCCAGACAATATTTAAAATCCGTACTCACAAGTAATTCACACACGGCAAATACATACGAACTGCAGAAGTGCAGAACTAACCGATAATTGCTGCACATGTGCAAATCTGGCGAATAATTCTCAGAAATCTCATTTGTTTTGTCTTCTTAGAAACTGCATTTCTGCGAAATTCCGCGGAAGGTTTTATAAACGGAAGTAGTAGTGTTTTTTCTTATACATTAAAAACTATTTCGTTGTAGAAACATTAATTTATTTTTACATTTTACTGAAAAAATATTTTTCATTTTTTTTATTTCCCTTTACATTTTTCTTGGAATTTTGGAATTTAAATTTTTTAGTAGCTGGAACCTTAGGCAGAACCCCAGAAACAGGGGCGCGGAACCCCAGGGTTCCGCGGAACACAGTTTGAAGACCGCTGGTGTAGATAATTTATTTCGATGTTAGTAAAATCCAGATTCAGTGTTTTGTAATTTGGTCACTAGTAAATTTTAGTTTAGTTTCATTTTTTTTGTTTGTGAATTTCCCTACTCTAGCGGAAAAATAGAACGTAACAGTATATTAACAAAATAAAAGTTAAATAATTAATTACATCTGATGTCCAAACGTAACTAAATATTAAATTTTATGTACAAAATTAGTCCGTTCTTTGTTATTACTCGTTACTCGCCAATTTCTTTGCTTCGTCCAAGGTGCTTCCTTTATTTATGTTCAAAATTTATTTTGTTGACCCAAATTGTGATTGCTTTCTTTTGTCTCTGTTGATTTGCGATCTAGCCAGCCATTATGTGTTTAACTTGTCCGTCCTTATTCATCTTTTGAAGATGATTCCACCATGGTAGTTGCCCATGTTCTAAATGTGCCTACATGCAGCTTATTTCCAAATTTGTCATTCCGTTCATTAACTGACTCCAATATGTTTTGGTAATTTAATCTTCATAGATTGTAACTTATCATCCTTGGCGACAATATCGATGTTTGGCAGCATAGGTTTAGATTGGTAGATATACTTATTGCTTTTGTGGGACGCCGTCATTTTTAACTTAGCTATTTACAATGCTCCTTTCCGGCTGGAAAATCGCTTTTTATATTATTAGACTTCCAAACGTGACATTAAATTTAGAGCTGCCACTTTGACGTTGCTTATAATGTGCACTGGCCATAGAATGCACTGGCACTCCCGAAGAGGCTGAATCCATGACTACAGACTACAGATGAGGATGAGACTGCTTGGTGATTATGAATTATAGTAAATATTAACAATTACGATCAAGTCTTTACGTTTTTACCTATGAAATGCCTGTGAATTAAAAAAAAGACTTGCGGCGTCACGAAATTTTGACATTACAATTTAAATTTCAAAGGTTTCTAAACATTTTTTTTATCAGACATAATAAATGTTACGTATTTCAACATAAATCTTTGGAGTAAATTATTATATTAAAATATTGGCCCACAAACTTTTGTATTTTACACGTGTTGAAAATGTTTTGGAAATGCTCGTAAATTTCTCGCATTTTCAAAATTGCATTTTCCAGACTTGTTAAACAAATAGCTATTGTATACGTTAATATTTATTTTTTGATCACTTGTACGGTATGTTTCAACGGCAGTAAGTTTTGTCTACTGGTTACTATACAGGGTCATCAAAATTGATTGAGAGAGTTGGTACCCCCTGTTTTTGACGTGAAGTTTGTCAACCTTATGACTAGAGAGCGGAAAATATGCAGCAAAATTTTGGGAAATATGATCATATGATATGCACCAAATTTATGCAAATATGCAGTAACTTTCTTAATATATGCAGAGATATGCAGCTGCATATGCTCCAAAAACTAAAAAAAAGCGTAATAACCGAACTAAATTTATTTACAAATTACAAAATTAGTATTAATCGACTATTTAATTACTATTTTGGTAACAATTTATTTTTAAATATTTTTCGAAATATTCTAACCAAAAGTTTTCCGATGATTCTAAAGTATATTTGGTATAGAAAAACTGTGTACTACGTCCACAGATATAAAAATCCTTACCGGTTTAAAGCAGACGCGACAAAACAGTTCCTTCTTGAAGAATATGTTCAGGAAAAGGTTTAATCCATAAATTAATTTGAGTTATCTTCGATATATTAACACACATGTATCGCTTAAAATGCTTTAAATGCAAACTCACGATGAAAAGTAATAGGGTAACGTCCCTTCAACCACCATAACACATACCATTAATACATTTAAGTAACGAACAAAAATATTGGGAATGAATGGTATTTCCAATAGTAATTAGGGCCCAAATTTACCTGGAAGAATGGCTTAACACCCAATGGATTCTCCAAACTACCATAAAACCCAAACCTTTACTAGTTATTTGAACATCAGGACAATATTTGCAATATGATTAATGAAATTTCGTCTTTCTAGATACATGCCGATAGAATAACAATCTTTTTTTTTTCAAATTGGCACAAAAATTGATAAAAATGCAAAATATGCACCCGTTACGTGAAATATGCAGCAGAAGGCAAATATATGCAAATATGCAATTTTTTTATAGCTGTATTCGTTTTTAATTAGCATGATTCGTTCACATATTAAATATCAAGACTTATATGCAAAAAATAACGGATATGCAAATTTCATAAAATCCGCTCTCTACTTATGACAGATTTGTTTAAGGTTATATGGCAATGAATTCAGTGGCGTGACAAAAATTAGAAACTTCAAATCTGACAACTAATGTTTTTACCAAAAAAAAAGTCGCAAAAAGACGCCACTGAGTTTTGAAATTTGAAACTTGAAACTTCAAATCTGACAGCTAATATTTTTATACAACTTAATAAACCAAATTATTCAAGTTCAGGTTTACCAACTCTCTCAATCAATTTTGATGACTCTGTAGATGAAACTATCTACATTGACAAAATTTGAAAATAGGCTTCTTTGATGTGTGATGAATTTTTTCAACATCTCAAATTTGATAACACAAGCTAGAATTTTGTCGATCGTACAGAAAATTATGTATGCATCACGAAGTTAAGAGGTTTACTGATCTCAGACAAATTGGTGACGTCCCTTCGCTGCGTCTCCAAACTTTTGCCTTTGACCAGAAAACCTCCCTTAGCGCTCTTAATACTTATTAATATACTAAGAACCAATTGTTTCAATTTTATATTAGCACTGTAGCAACACACCATGTTTTATGAAGGATGAACGCCGCACTATTTATTTAATTCAATGAATGTGAAGAAACGCCGTACTTTACAAATGCTAAACTTCGTACTTTTATTCAATTTTAGATTTTAGCAAAGTGTGGAGAACTGTTTACTCTATGTTCTCAAAAATTTGAAAATGCAGTGCTGTTATTATTAGTATTAGTATTCTATTCAAATTTATACAGTGGATATTTTTAACGCTGGCCTGGGGATTTAAGTGCTTCATCTGATTTGTAATTCACGCAATATCAGGTCAAATCTAGGAATGGAAGAATTCCATATTTTCTCATCATCACATCGCATCTTATCTATAATTCGTCCATCATTGTCATCAGGGGCGGCAGGGTCGGCCACGCCGTACCAGTCATTTTAAAATACTTAGTAAGCGTTGAAATTAGAAAATAAAAAAAGAAATAAAGTTTGAATGTACGTTAGGATAGATCATATATATTAAAAATATATTTTATTATATTGTAGGTAGAAAATAAAGCATTTGTTGCTAATTTTAAATGCTGATAAACACGCTTTGCCGGCGAGATTTCGGCACGCCGTATCCAGGAATGCATTATGCTCGATGTTTCGACTTCGTAGCAGCTTACGGTTTCATCGTTCTCTTTGTCTAGCACACTGTAGTAGACAAAGACCTGGCGGAACGTATGTTGTGCCAGGTCCGGCGAAATCCTCCTTCGCCGTACCCAGCAACGCGAATTTAGTTTTTAAAACGCTTAATATTTAAGATAGCTAACCAAATTACAAAACAATAACGGCTTCGATGTTCTTCAGTGCATACTATTTTTTTTTAATAATAATTGTCGATTTAATACATTTTCCTGTGTATGAATAATAAACGAAAAAAATTACATTAAATTATCTAAAATTTTATTTTTCGTACATAACTTAGCTACAACATAAATGCGCTTTTTCTCTATTTTTAGCATCTAAGCGTTTTCAGATATTTCAGAAACGAATTTAAAGTTTTAAATCATTTTAATTTTTCAATTATTCAATTAATTTATTTGATAATTTGTCATATACATTAAAAAAAAAATAAATGTAAATGAAGATAGTTAACAGTTGGTACTTTTATTATTACTTTTTTTTATATTTTTTAACTGCATGTCATTATTTAATTATTATTATTTAATTGTGGATGTCCGGGGTCGGCAAGCCGTATAGCCGCCGGTCGACGGGGAACTCAGTAAAAATAATGTTTTCGGTGGTTCTCAATTAATGATAAAGCAGAACAAGTAGAATTAAGGATTAATAGTATTTGAAATCAAACTGACATTGTCAATTTCCTATAAAAAATTATTTTAACAGGTCGAAACATTTGAGATGTTTTGTACATCCTGGCACGTAAAATGTCAGTGGTTAATGAGTAGCAGCCATACATTACGAAAATATATAACACCAAGGTGTAGACTCAAAATATTTGGCCGACCCGAAATTTTGACCCACCAGCCGCCACTGATTGTCATTATCATCACAATAATACCTACTAACGTAGGTAAAGTCGAAGTCCGTGGTCGAGGTCATTGAATCTGTCACAACTATAACCTAACTTTAACTGTGTTTTGACCGTGGACCAAACTGATTATCATTGAATCTATATCTGCTTACAGTAAAAAACAGTAAATAATAATGGAATACCACTATGTCTAAAATAAAATGCCAATTTAATAATCACTGCAATGAAACGTTTGTAGTAGATATATTTGGTTGATTGTAGAAATGGTTATGTTCGAGTTACACACAAGAAGCTCGGATCAGCAGTTCTGTAGCACTTACAGGTAATAATAATAATGTACCTAAGAGCTACGTATTTACCACTTCGTGAATCCAGTTTGCTGTTATAAAGTGTGTACATTTTATAGGTGGCGAAGACCCTAAAACGCAGCATGTGAATAGCAGAAGTCTTGGAACGGCGACGACTTGTAATAAAATTTGTTCAAAAAGGAAGAATTATTCTGTGTGGCAGAGGGAACTACACCTCAAGCTTCGTAGTAGTTACTGATTACTGGACTACTTTAAATAAATGATTATATCGGAATTCGAAAAATTGCTGACAAAAGTGGTTGTGCTAGAAGAGAGAAGCTAGTATTAGTGCTCTTATACCAAAATGTGTGACCAATAGATTACTGTGGTAGCCACAGGTGGTAGCTATGATGAAGCAATCAAAATATTTTCAACTGTACTAATACAGTCTATGATTGGTGTCGAACGTCGTATAAAGGAATGAGACCAGCGAACCAGTAACTAAGTGATTTATTGACAAGTGATAAGTGAAATGAATAAGGATGTCTCTCAATGTTGAGAGTGAATGAAATGAATGCTGACTGACTGAATGTTAATGAGTAAATGACTACTGAATGAATCTTCAGTGAATGCATGATTACGAATGAATGTCTAGAGAATGAATGATTTGGCTACCCTATGTTCAAGGGAGGGGGTGGCTCCGGACACCCTTACGTGTAGAGGGGTGAAACAGCCACCGCCGGAAGCGCTAAAAATTGGAAAAATGTAATTTCGATTTCCTAGAAATAAGTCTATCACACTTCAACATTGGGTTGCAGAAATCATTAAATGTATCTTTACTTCATGCATCTATGAATGATTATTATTTAAGCTATTCAGGCATACAAAAGACGTCTTATTAATTATGTGAACAAAACTGCCCTACTAAACAACAAGTTTGTATCTGTACTTTTGATCAGTTTCACTTTAATACTATTTGTGTACTCAGAACACCTTAATCTAGTAATAAACATTAATTTATATAGTTATTTATGTATCAAGTGCCGAAAATAACTCTTTGCATGTCAGCGAGGCCGTTTCGGCGTGAGAAACATACATTTTCTGTGCTGCTTTTTGAAATACATACATTCAGTTACTACTTTCATTAACAAAAACCAGTGACATTACCTCCGTTGTGTTACACGTCAATTTTATATTATTCTTTTAATTTATTATAATAGCTATTTATGTAACACATAATAGTACATAAACCAGGTCTTTATTGACAAGCCGATTTTAGTAGACGAGGGAGCGTAGCGACCGAGTTGATAAAAATAAAAAATAAGGAAAACCAATTGCAAAATAAATTTCTGAAAATCCAGTCTACTTTTTTATTGTTACTACAGTAACCCATTGTCTGTTTACACAAGTGAAAATTATTTTGATTTTTGCTGTTTGCGTTTAAAGTTGAAAAATGCAAGCTAGTAGATCGAACCAAGCAGAAAGTGAGATAACAGAGATTGCTAGGAGTGTTAAAGAGTCTTTACTACCATCAAAATCGAGACATTCATACGAAGAAACTTACAACCTTTATCGGAAGTGGTGCTCTAAAAAGAACGTTAAATCAACGTCGGAAGAGAGTATTTTGGCGTATTTCACTACAGAGCTTTCCTCGTATGAAAAGACATGGGGGCTGGCCTTCATCAACTGTAGCGGAGGGGTATATTGATGAAACTGCTAAAATTAACGTTGCGGAAAAAACTCTAGGCAAAAATCTTTCGGAAAAAAATGTTGCTGAAGATATGTTCAGTTGTGGAAAATCAGAAGCAATAATAGAAGCAGTGATGAAATATACGTTTTCTGGTACTAGTTATGTTGTAAATATTAAACATTGCGATCATGCCTAGATTATTTTAGTTAATAAGTTTGATTGTATTCACGAAAACTTTAATAAAAACAAGTGTAAAATAAAGTTGTCTTTGTTGTACTAGTACCATAAAGTACCACATTACGGCCGCTAAATTATAAAATAAAGTAATATTTATAGAGCAATCGGACATAAACACTTTAACAAGTATTGTTAAATATTCTTTATAATACTACTAACTTTCAGTGTATGCGTTATCCCATTTTTCTTTATTTCAATCAAGGTATGGGATGTCTGGACCTGTATGGTCGCATATATACCTCTAGCAAAGACAAGAACCACACGAGTTCCCCAAAATGCCAATTGTTCTTATTTCTGTCTAAAATCTTATTTTTGAAGCCTTTTACAATAAAAAAATACTTAATATGAATAAATTAATTAATTAACTGGCAAAATAAGCAATTTCATTTTTAGTTCCCCAAAAGGATCGCTGTAGAAATATATATATGTTAATGATAACTTTCGACCTCAAATTCTCTCACGTATATATACTTTTGGGCTCAAATTGGAAGTTTCGGCCTCGCCGTAGCTTTTGAGGCCGAAGTGACTCACACATTCAACGTAACATTTGGACTCACGCATATCCAGTGACATCTTTTAACAGTAATTTTAACAATTTTGGTTTGAGAAAAGATTGTTAAGTATAAAAGTTGGTTGCATAGATGATTTACTTAACAAAGCTAATATTATGACTAGGTTTTGTATAAATACGGGAAGTTGTTTGAAGGTAGTAATTTCCAGAAGTATGTTGGAAATTTATCTAAAATTAAAGAAAATATTAAGCAACTGAAAACAATTGGACAGTAGAAGAGCCAAAAATTCAGAAAGAAGTTAGAGAGTAAGAAAGAAAAAAAAAAGATACACAACAGGTATAGAATGTAAGAAACGGAAAGTTGAGGACATGGAATGAAGACAGGGAAATTTGGATGAAAAATTTTACAAAGAGAGTTGGAATTAACTGATCAAGGAAGCATAAAGAGAAGGGGTGGTAATTATAAAAAAAATAGAGAGGGAATGGAAAAGAAAAGCGGGGAGGACAAATGGGGTTTAAAATTGCTTGTTTGAAATATTGCATTATTAAGAAAAATAAACAGAATTTATTTAATGAGTACATAAAATTTTGATTTTGTGTGATTAACAGAAACATGGATACTAAAGAGTAAGGGGAATAAATTGAACAAGGAAAAAGGAAAAGTTGAGGGTGAAGCAAGTGGGGGATCCATAACAGGGGTGACAAAAGATATAAAACAAATCGAAGAGCGGGTAATAGAAGTGGAACGCATAGTGGAAAGAAAGATAAAAGAAAAAAAGAATTTGCATATTGTATTGCATTGGAATTACAAAAAATTTGAAGAAAAAAATTTAAGAAAAAATTGAAGAGTCTAACGAAGAATTTCTTCTGATAGGAGATGGTTTTAACGCCAAAATAGGCAACAAAAGCAGGGAATATAGGGGAGAACGCACAGAAAAATCTAAAGATAAAATTTTAAATAAAGACAGAAAATTTCTATGGAAATTAATTGAAGAAAGAGTTTGGTAGTCTTGAATGGGGTGAAGGAGGGGGATGAAGATAAAGAATTTACCTGTATATGTAACCCAGTAGCTGATGAAGAAGCCGAAACATTTAAATTAGGAGAAAGAATTGATTCCGACCACATGCTATAAGAAGTAAAATTGAGGGATAGAAGTAGAAAAGTCGGAGTCACAAATAAGGAAGTAGATAAAAAGGAGAAGGGAACTGAGCATTATAAAAGATGTTGGAAATTGAAGTCAAAAGAAGTAAGCTAAAATAAAATAGAAGAATTAAAAATAACAACTGAAAAAGCAGCAATAAGAAAAGCATTTATAACGAAGAAATCAGAAAAGAGAAACAAATGGCGGGTTAATAGATGCAGAGATTTAAAAACATAAGAAAGAAAATGTTTACGAAGGTGTAAAAAGGGAAAGATAAAAAAGAAGAGTACTGTCCAGCAAGAAATAATAACAGGTCGGTGTGAATCAAAAAAAGAAGAGATTCCGAAAGAAGAAATAAAATAAAAGCCATAAAATCAGAGCAAGAACCAAAATAAGGAAAAACAAAAACATGATCAGTGAAGAAATGCTAATAATACAATGGAAGTACCATTTCATGAAACTAATGAGTGGAAATGAGAGTACTGTAGCGCAAAAGAGTTAAACCGAGAATGCTGAGAGAGAAAGAATGGCCGAACATTACAGTGGAAAAAATATGGAAACAAGTTGGAGGGTCGAAAAGAGGGAAAAGACCAGGGAGGAATGGATTGGTAAATGATGTATGGACGTTTAGAACGGATGATTTGATTGAAAGACTGTGTGAAATAATGAATGAGATGTGGAAAAGTAAAGGTCTCCTCGCAAGTGGCAACAAGGACAAATATGTCCAATGGCGAGTATAAAGGAACCTAGGTACAATGGGGGTTATACTCGTCTAAAGATAATATCAGAAACAACGCCAAGGTACCTAGAGAGAGAAAGAACGAAGGAGAAAAAGTAACTGCTAGACAGAGGGGTGGACATGAAGAAAGAAACAATAACTTTTGCTTAAGCGAAAGCAGAAGAATATTTAGGATGTGTGGAGGAGTGCAAGAGACTTTAGAATACATGCTACAAGACTAGGGCGAAATTAAAGAAAAAAGGAAAATATAACAGAAATATTGAATGAAGATGGAAGAGAAGCAGGGTGGATGAAAGGAGTGGAAAAGAGCGGAGTAAGGCTGGAGCAAAGGGGATGCGATAAAAGAAGTAAATTGTAAAATCCTTGATTGTTGACCATTATTATTGCTATACCACACCAAAATAGTATAAATAAAAATAAATAATTGGCAGAGTGGTGAACTATCTAGCCTAAAATTATTTTCATCTTTTGTACAATTCGGCCTCACAGAATCGTAGAAAACAACTTTCAAACTTACAACCCAAGCTAAAATTAACTTAATAGCAGTTATTTTAATAACAAATAAGAGAAATAAACCTACAAGAAAAAGTCATAATTGTGTTATTAATTATGAAGTAACTATTAAAAAAATCTAAAGATTGTGATGCCAAAAGTTACTTTAAATCAAATAATGGCTTTCATCCATTGAAACTTTTGGCCTCATAATTACATGACGAATAACTTTCGGACTCATGTGCTAACATACATTAAAGTACAAGGTACATGAATAAATCTAAAATCGGAAACCCAAAATTTGGTCAAATCGAGGCAGTAAAATTCATGTGAATCAATATTCGGTGCTATATATTCAGGCACACCCCCAAGTGTAAATATTCAGATTTTTTCCATAATACGAAACATTTTGTATGAAGTTAAAACAAAATTAGACTGTGAATGGTAGAAGTATCTGTAGACGCATTCATAAAAATATTTTTTATTCAAAGATAAAGTGATAATTTACATTTTTTAAATACTTGCTACTTAGCCAAATATAAAGGACGACAGGTCCAAAGTTGCTATTAATGAGCCAATTATTTTGATATGTTTGTTTCCATATTAGCGTGGGTATAAAGTTGGGTTAGGTAGTTCTGCAATCAACCAATTATTTATTTTTATTTATACTATTTTGGTGATACCAGTTTCAGGGTTCATCCCCTTCCTCAGCCACCTCGTCAGTAAACCTATAACACTTTAAAAAAGTCAATATTTGGTTAAATTTTTAGACTTATTAGTGTTAATATTATCAGGAATTTGATCTGCCGTTTTTTGAGCCTAAAATACTTGATTGTTGACCATTATTCTTGCTATACCACACGAAAATAGTATAAATAAAAATAAATAATTGGCAGAGTGTTGAACTATCTAACCTAAAATTATTTTCATCTTTTGTAGACTTTGGCCTCACAGAATCGTAGAAAACAACTTTCAAACTTACAACCCAAGCTAAAATTAACTTAATAGCAGTTATTTTAATAAAAAATAAGAGAAATAAACCTACAAGAAAAAGTCATAATTGTATTATTAATTGTGAAGTAACTATTAAAAAAATCTAAAGATTGTGATGCCAAACGTTACTTTAAATCAAATAATGGCTTTCATCCATCGAAACTTTTGGCCTCATAATTACATGACGAATAACTTTCGGACTCATGTGCTAACATACATTAAAGTACAAGGTACATGAATAAATCTAAAATCGGAAACCCAAAATTTGGTCAAATCGAGGCAGTAAAATTCATTTGAATCATAATTCGGTGCTATATATTCAGGCACACCCCCAAGTGTAAATATTCAGATTTTTTCCATAATACGAAACATTTTGTATGAAGTTAAGACAAAATTAGACTGTGAATGGTAGAAAAATCTGTAGACGCATTCATTAAAATATTTTTTTACTCAAAGTTAAAGTGATAATTTAAATTTTTTAAGTACTTGCTAATTAGACAAATATAAAATACGAGAGTTCGAAAGTTGCTATAAATGAGCTAATTATTTTGATATG